TATATATATATATATATATATATATATATATACACACACACACACATACATACATACATACACACACACACACACACACAGCCACCTGAAAGGAACATTTACCTATTTACCTATTTATCAACGAATCAAGACTGTAATTCAATATATATATATATACACACACACATACATACATACATACATACACACACACACACACACACAGCCACCTGAAAGGAACATTTACCTATTTACCTATTTATCAACGAATCAAGACTGTAATCCAATAAAAGAATGAAAGGGTTTCGCGGGCGGATATTGGCTCTTTCTTGCTTTATTCGTGGGATCAATCTATGACCTCTCAGAGTAAATAAATTTGTTCCGGATATTGGCTCTTTCTTGCTTTATTCGTGGGATCAATCTATGACCTCTCAGAGTAAATAAATTTGTTCCTGGTTCATTCTGCCATCCCACCCCATGAATCATTAGGATTCCTTTTTCTTTTAATAGAAAAATCTTATATAGTCACATGTTTCGCCGTTCCTATAGCTTCTCCATTAATGGTTAGGCCTGAACTCTGCAATGGAGCCCATAAATCCATTTTTTTCTACTCCCCTTAGAATGAGAAAGGATAAGGGATGCTTTTAATTTAAGCGATGTATATTTTGAGATACAATCAATCCACGAGAATAATATAAACTAGATCCAATAAAAAATAGGAATTTCTTTTTAATTAAAAAAGTACAACGGGATTCAAGATAAAAAAAAACAAAAAAAGAGTTAGTAATAGAATATGGATAATATTTTTCTCCATTTTGGATCGAATTTGGCGGCATGGCCAAGTGGTAAGGCGGGGGACTGCAAATCCTTTATCCCCAGTTCAAATCCGGGTGTCGCCTGAGCAACAAAAGATTTTGGACTTCTTTCTTATCCTGCCGGTCTAATTCGACGAATTCTTGCGGAGCAAGAAGCAGAGGCAAAGGACTAAGTAGGCGTTTCGATACTTTATTTTTATAAGCCATAGCATAGGTTTTATAAAAGACTGTAATTTTTTTTCTAAAAACCTGGACGTAACCCAAACAGGTATCAATAGGGATGAAGGAATTCTCACTTATTATCGGTTCGGGCCAATCATTTGATTTTTCAATTGAATCAAATAAATGGTGAGGGTCAATTCCGGGATTCAGAACTAAGGTCGAAAATCTCGGTATCCAAAGGTTACTCCGTTTTTGCTACTAGAATTGAAGAAGAGATTATATGAAAGACTATCAAGTCGCCCTTATTAAATTTAAGTAGTGTCTCGCGACTCCGTCTGGTATCAAAAGAGTAAAGAAAAAAAAGAATGTATTAATAGTGGTGGGTTCTCCTGATTCTTTCACAGAAAGAAGCTTAGATCAAATAGGAAATAGAAGTATCTAATAGATAGTTATCTATCTTGATGGTATATTTTTATGTTTTTGCTTAGTAAAGAAAGGGATCAAAACAAATAATAGGTCTTACTATTCTTATATGCTCCATTAGAACCATTCCTTTGATATTTCCAAGGAAAAGGCGTGTGTATCATCATATTTGTACTTAAAGCTTCCTGATTTGAGTTTTACAGAAACCTTAAAATAGAGAAACTTGTTACGAGTGTATTTATTTAATTGGTTTGGTTCATCACTAGTCTTAAGTCATAATCCCATTTTGACTCTGCGCCATTGATTCCACTATGATTATTAATTAATAATAATAGAATAATTCCTTCATAGAAATAGGGGACATAATTCACATGGATATAGTAAGTCTTGCTTGGGCTGCTTTAATGGTGGTCTTTACATTTTCCCTTTCACTTGTAGTATGGGGAAGGAGTGGACTTTAGAGCTGGGGGCACTGCTAATTGCTCAATCGAACTGTATTATACAATTATATAGTATATATAAAAGTATATCATATAAGTAAAGTATAAAACTGTATGTAAATTAGCATAATGTAAGTATGCAATAAATGCATATATAATTATATAATACGTATTTATAAATAAGTAATATATCCTTATGTAATTCTCTCTCTCTCTCTCTCATGTTATAATATAATAAAATTAATCTAACTTTTTAGCAAATTTTTCCTTAAAAATCATGAGAAATTGGTGAAACTCCTAAAATGCACAAAATAATGACACCTAAGTAGACAAGATAATACCACATGTCATATATTATATTTGTATTAAATTAGAATTTTTATTGTTCTCATTAAATTAAATTTATTCATAATTAGAATTCTTATCAAATTAAATCTACTATAATTAGAAAATTCTAATTATATTCAATTTTTAGTAACTAAAAATATGTAATAATTATATTTTTAAAATTTAATTTATAATTTAAGTGATTAAAAATCTAATAATTAGTTATTTCTAATTATAATAAAAACTTTAGTAATTAATAAAAACTAATTATTCTACTTTAATTTTTTCTAAATTAGCTATAATTAAAATATTTAATAATTATATTTTTATATCTCTTATTTTTTTATATCTAAAGGTACAAAATAATGACACCTAAGCACACAAGACAATGCCACATATCAAATATTATTTTAGTATTAAATTAGAATTTTTATACAATGGGTTCATTTTCTATCATAAATTAGAGTTTTCATCGAATTATATTTATACATAATTAGAATTATTATCAAATTAAATATATATATAAGTATTAGAAATTCTAATGATATAAAATTTTTAGTAACTAGAAAAATATAATAATTATTTTTTATTTTAATTGTACTTTTATTAATTAAAAATCTAATAATTAGATATTACTAATTATAGGAAAAAAATTTAGTAATTAAAAATATTTAATGACTATAATCAAAATGTCTATTAATTATATTTTTATTACTTTTCTTTTCAATATATGAAAAAAGGATTAATGGTTCGCTATTAGTTTTTTTTTTTAAAAATCATATGACCCTCCTCAATTTAAATTTTTTTTTTAACTAAACGTCTAACAATTTTAGCCATTTGACATTGAGCCTGCAAATGTTTTAAAATGCACGATAAGTTTAAGAATTATAGAAAATGATCAAAGTATTTTATTTTTTGCACTTAACTTTATAAGACATTGCACATAACATTATCCCTCAAGACTTATATATACCTCCTGAATTATTTATATTTGCAGATTAACTCATAAATTATAAAAAAGGCATCTAAAAATAAAAAAGTATAAATAGACATTTGAAAATAATGAAACTACAAAAGACCTCTTAAAATGTAAAAATTATAAAATACTCTTTTAAATTCTAAAATTTACAAAGAAACACCCCGCTCCCACGCAAATGAATCTAAACATCACTAACCATCACCTTTAAATTCT